AGCTGATGGAAGCAGAAGCAGAGATCCACAGCTAACAACTGAGCCTTACTCCTGGAATCCAGTTGTAGAGAGGGAGGAATGATGAGCAAAAGGGTCAAGACCAGGATGGTGAAACCCACAGAAACAGCTGACCTGACCAAGTGAGAGCACATGGACCCCAGTTGTAAAGCTGGGAAGCAGCATTGGACTACACCAAGCCCCCTGAACGTGGGTGTCAGTTAGGAGGCCTGGGCAGTCTATGGGACCTCTGACAGTGGAACCAGTATTTATCCCTAGTGCACAAGTGGACTTTGGGAGTCCATTCCTCATGGAGTGATAGTCACTCATCCCAGATACACAGAGGAGGGCCTAGGGCCCTCCCCCAAATGATGTAACAGACTTTGATGGTCTCCCATGGATGGCCTCACCCTCCTTGGGGAGTGATGGGGGATGAGATGGGGGATGGAGGATGGGAGGGAGAAGGAACTGGGATTGATATATAAAATAAGATTGTTCCTAAATTCAATAAATAAACAAAACAAAAAATAAATTAAGATACTATCCTTTAGAATAGTTTACTACACAGTATTAATGGGACCAACCAGGGTTTAGAGGAAACAGCCTATCATTTCAGTTTCATCATCTCCAAATTTGTGTGTAGGACAAAATGATTCTTAAACATCATGGAGATCCACACCCTATGTGTTTATAACTTGGAATCGGTTACCAGCAGTTCCTAGAATTCCTGGTTGTCTGTGTATGCTAATTCCACTAGGGTTTTTATGTGATACCATTACTAAGAAGCGAGGAAGGAAAGTATTAAGCCATTCACATTGCCTTGACTTCTCTGTGTATTCCCTCTGAGAAAATTGTGGTGATATTAGGCAACAGCCATGTGGCACAGTAATTTTTTGTTGACTGTAATACTTTTAGTAAAAACACCAGGCCAGATGTGATGGCACAGTTCTCATCCCAACACTAAGGTTGCTGAGGCAGAATAACTTTAAATTCCAGTTTAGCCTGGACTGGTAGCAAAACCTTATTTCAACAACAACAAAAAAAAATTATTGTGTTCATGCAGGACCCATATTTAAAGCTTTGTCCTTGGTTCAGCTATGATATGAAATATTTGCAACGAAAGTGGTTTTGTTTAGAAATCATAATGCTACAAAGGCAGGTTTCTGAAAGAGAAAAGACAAAATCCATGATTAACTCAAATCGTAATTTGTAGGAAATAACTTTAAAAATTTCCTTTATGCTTAATATATCATTAATAAAAAATGTTTACTCTCCAGCTTCTGAGGAATTTGGAGTTGTGATAGAGCAGGCCTTTAATAAGGAAACAATACATGTATCAAAATCACCAAGTGTGGCAGGGTAACTGCCTTCATTTCAAAGTATTTATAATTTTTCAGAGAAGACATGTGCGCAGAAAATGTAGTTAACCATGATGGGATGAACAGTTAGAGACAGGATGGTTGGCTGTGACACATCCACCTTCTGCAGGCTTGGACTCTACTCTGCTGGATAAGTACACTTAGCTCCTTCCCTGTTCTGACAGCAAATTTAGGGTCATTATGAATGCTGAATCTTTAAGTAGGTGACAGGGAAGTTGGACAAAAGAAACAAAAAGGAAGACAATATGGATGACAGTCCTAAGAGAGCTTTTATTTCCTTAAGGGAGTTGGGAGCATGAACACATAAACACATGCAAGCAGGCATGCACTCACTCACTCACTCACCAAAGCTTCTTTTTCCTGTTTGACCTGCTGAATTGACTGTAGTTACTTGCAGAACTCCAGCAAGAGTGGGGTTGGAGTGAAGGGTTTCTGTCCTAGCTCAAATAATTCACCCCATATCAACACAGAACAGATGAGACCAGACTAGATGATTACATAATGAAGCGGTGTTCAGCTTTGTCAGTTTGGTATAATTGAACTTGAGCTCTCTCTGAACATGTCTGTCAGAGCTGGAGTGGAAGGCCTACAGGAAGCCTAACTTGAATATCAAGATATTTGGAAATGATAAGTTAGAGTTTTTCTGAAATATCTTTTTATTTGAACGACTCATTTCTTTTTTTAAAAAGTAAATTTATTTATTTTACGTTCCGACCACAGTTTCTCTTCCCTCCTCTCATACAAGTCCTTCTTCCCAAACCACCCTCTGTTTCCACCCCCAATCCACTCCTCTGTTTCTGTTTAGGAAAGGGCAGGTCTCTCAGGAGTATCAACAAAACATGGCATATCAAGTTGCAGTAACACTATATTAAGGCTGGGCAAGGAGATTCCCTTGCACCAGGTTTTTACCTGACCCCAAAATGCTCCCCATTCCAGTAGTCTCTTTCAGTCTCCTCTCCCTCTCTGCCCCTCAACCAGGTACTGTGTTTCCTCACGGTGTTGCTGAATGACAGCTGAGCCAACGTGAGCCACTAGATGCCTCCTATCTTAATATAGTATAATTTGTGAGTGGCACAAATATTAATCACTGATGCCCTGTGCCTATGCATCCTTCTTATATATTTTAGTTAGACTTTTGCTTATAACATTCCAATGTTTCCACATTGTTCACATATTGCTAAAACTCCTACTACATATCTTTCAAGAACTAGGTCAGAGACATCTTGTCATGAAAAGTGTCATACCCTCACTAGCCTGGACAAGCATATTCCATACAATTCGGAACCTGCAGATCACAAATTGTTGTAAGACTGCCTGTCCAGAATGCCCATAGGGTTCTCCTGTTTCTACTTCTCCAGTGCTGGAACTATAGTCCCTTGCCAAAAGGCCAGGTCTTTTAAATCTAGCGTCTGTGAATCTGAACTCAGGTTCTCAAATTTGTGTGACGGCAAGAATATCACCAACTAAGCCATCTCCCTAGCCCTGGGATTACTATTTAAAATGCCACCTGGGTTATTTTAATATTCTAGCAGTTTCTGCTAGATGTGTGCATGCCAAAAGTGATTCATTTTAAGTTATCGAGTTGGTAGTTACTCTGGTGTCAAATTGGAAGCATTCAGTACTTGCAACCTGGGCAAATTCTGCATGACTAAACCATATTAGATTCTTCTAGATAATTTTCATCATATTTCAAAAAGAAGCTAGACTAAGAAATTTGAGATGAAATGCACTTATCTGTAAATTAGGTTCATGAATTTCATTTTACCTGTGACATAGACGCCAGAGATATATTTCAATAGAAATAATGTATTCAAGATGTGTTAGAGCTTAAAAACATATAAAGCAAAAAGAAATTGAGCTGTGATCTTGGTTTGTTCTAAAAGTGGGTAAAAAAGGAAGAAAAAGTAAAAGAAAAATTGCTTCATCATGGTATTGTTCAAAATCAATGTAAGGCAGTGGGGACTGGTAGGCTTGGGGTACCCCTAAGAAAACTGAGGTGCTCATACATATGAAGGAAAGCTCATCGTATACTTCTGTAAGGAAAATGGCATGATTGCTCATTTGCCCCGGTGAGGCAACAGTAGAAGGACAGCTACAGAGGATGAGCTGCAGGAGGACTGAGGAATTAGCCTAATGAAAGAAACCAGTTTATAGAATGAACGAATAGAAACTCTACAACCAGCCGGGGTGGAGGGTGGGGGGCAGTGGTGGTGCATGCCTTTAATCCCAGCACTCAGGAGGCAGAGGCAGGTGGATCTCTGTGGGTTTGAGACCAGCCTGGTTTACAAGAGCTAGTTCCAGGGCAGCCTCCAAAGCCACAGAAAAACCCTGTTTTGAACCCCCTCCCACACACAAAACAAACAAACAAAAAAAGAAAGTCTACAGCCAACCCCATAGTAACAGTACATGTCGTTGGGAATGCTCAAGAAAGCTCCTGGTATAAGTGGCCCATAAAATGTAAGCCTTTGACATCAAACCACAGTACTTCTAACCTTTCCCTAGCCTTTGCTCTATTCTCCCTCTTTGGAAGTATACTTTTTCCCAATAAATTACATCTACTTCTGATGCTGTCCATGTACCTCTGATTAATCTCCATGTTCTGTACCACAAGAACCTTGAAATCCTGGGGGGCATTCATTAGACTTCACCATCTGTCAATAGTACTACTACTGCTTTATCAATATGGATATAATTGTATTTTCATGAAAAAAGTACTGCAAGTTGCATTGCCTGTTGAAATTGCCTATTGTTACATTTTGCTTCTTATATATTTGGTTATGAGCCTAGCCTTTAATTCACCAGAAATTCATTGAACCATGACATTCTTATCTTTTGTATGTCACAATTTTTAAGTGCAACCTGTACTGGGTAGTTTTCTGTGTCAACTTGACACAAACTAGAGTCATCAGAGGAAGGAGCCTCAGCTGAGGAAATGCCTCCTTGAGTTCCAGCTGTAAGGAATTTTATCATTTAGTGATCAATGGGGGAAGGACCAAACCATGGTGGGTGGTGCCAACCCTGGACTTCTGGTCTTTGGTTCTATAAGAAGGTGGGCTGAGCAAGCCAGGGGAAAGAAGCCAGTAAGCAGCAGCCCTCTATGGCCTCTGTATCAGCTCCTACCTCCAGGATCCTGCGCTGTTTGAGCTTCTGACCTTACCTCCTTCAGTGATGAACACAATGGTGAAGTGTAAGCTAAATAAACCTTTTCCTCTCTAACTTGCCTTTTGGCCATAGTGTTTCATCCCAGTAATATAAACCCTATCACACACCCCAACAAATCCCTATAAACTTTTCTTTTAAGTGATTTCCCTATTATCTGTGACTGAACAATTAAATAATAAAAACAATGCCAATAATTGCAGGTAACAGAACCTTAGCAAATGTAATGCCTTAACAAATGAATGTACTCTGTGGGCTGAAGAGTGAAGACAGAGTTTCTTTCTTCATGGTCCTGCAGCTATTTAGTCCCAAATAAACACACAGAGGCTTCTATTAATTATAAACTGCTTGGCTGATGGCTCAGGCTTCTTATTGACCAGTTCTCTCTTAATTATTAGCCCATTTCTATTAAACTATGAATTGCTACAAAGCTGTGACTTACCTGTAATTCTCTGGCTTGTACAGGTAGCTACATGGTGGCATCTCCCTGGAGGTTCCTTTCTCTGTGTTCCTATTCCCTGCATTTATTCACCAACCAATAAGAGAAATGTTCACAGCACTCGGAAGAACATCCTCCATCAGAAGAGTGCATCCATTTGAAGTTCAACTTTAAAAATAAAACAACTTATATTTGACTAGACCCTTGCTATTTGGGTAAGTTAGTTGAATTAAGGGCTGTACTAAGCATCTGGTGTTGCTGGGCAGCTTGTATATAATACAGACAATGTCACCATGTGTTTTCACAAAAAAACGCACAAGTAGATAACAGAAAAGTACCATTTTCTCAATTTAGCTCTGCACTGAATTTAATATTGCTTTCCTTTCTCTCCTCTGTCTCTGTATCTCTATCTCTGTGATCATGTCTCTGTGTCTCTATTTGTCTGTCTCTTTCCCTTTCCTCCCCCGCTCCATTTCTTTTATATTTTAAAATATGCCTGCTTATGCTTCTAGTTCACTCCCTCCCTATCTAAAGCATTATGTATGTACTGTTCACTCCTATGGCTCCCAGGCAGTAAAGCAAAGTGAACTAGAGTTGTCACCCTCCATTTAGCTATGAGGGAAATCTGACATGTCAGATGCGAATGGTCCAGCCTCCAGATAAGTCCATGTGTGTTTTCTTGTTTCCAGCTCAGTAGACTTTGGCCTATTTTACAATGGAAAGATTGTCTTTATTTTTCCATAATGCAACCACTGAAAAGAGATGATGAGGAAAATGAAATTTGCCTCAAGCTACTTTTATCCCTGTTCTTGAAAAGGCTTAGCCAAGGTGAAAGTACACATCCTGGTAGGGGAAACTTCCATCTCCCAAATGCACCGTGACTGCCTAATACTAACCTCGGCCTCTGCAGCCTCAGGGACTTCATTGAGAGGAAAAGAAAAGTGTTTCTAATACAGTTATCATGTGTTTGGGTATTGGGGAACTCATCACTAAGGGATGATTAAACTTGTAGCTGTGCGTTTAGAGGTGAATCCAACATAGTCATACATATTATTCTGATCTGATGCTGTGAGTTTGTAGAGCTATGGTATTTGAGACTTGTACAACTGTGACACACTTGGAAATAATCTACTGCTACTCATCATTTTTCTCTCAGGCAATTGAAAACTAAAAAGAAAAATTGAGGCTCTTTAGTGTGGGTGATTCAGCTACACTTGTAACTTCAGAGTGGACAAAGTGAGTTGGTTGACAGCTCCCACTGGCACTTGGAGGCAACTTTGAGAGTACATGTTTTCTCCAGAAACTTACATTTTTGCTTTAAAACATTGTGATTGGAATGTATCCTTGCTGATTGCATTAATAAGTTAAATACTGTCTCTGATAGACTGCCTCATATGGCAATCACTGGTTGTTTTTATTGTTTTAATTTTTATGGCAACAATACTGTATAGTTCCAAACAATCCTCGGTAAAAAGAAATTATTATTGACAGATAATGTGGAAAATATGATTAACAGCTAATGTGGAAACAATCTTATTCCAGGCAGCTAGTTTCTGAATCAGTGCAATAGAGCAATACTTCCCTAAAGTGTACAAAGGGCAGTGATTCCCAAGGAAGTTTGCAATCAGTCCAAGGTTAAATGAAAATCTAAATAAATAAAGATGAAATAATTGAAAAATAACTTGAAATTCTTCCAGTTTTAAAAGTAACATTTTTGCTCTTATGTGACTCCTCCATCTTTCTAATATTGAGATGAATCATTGTATTATGGAGTAAATGTGATATCTACCTAGAAGTTCTTTTTTCTCCTCTTGTCCTTACTTGAATAACGATTGGCATTTTTCAAATTCACTGAAGCCAAAAATTGGGTGTTTTTTCTTCCTTCCTTCATCCATTTCTTTCCCTTCCTTCACTCCCCCTTTCCTTTCTACTCATCTCTTCTTCTCTTCCTCATCTTCTCCATCTCCACAGGCTCTCATACTGTAGCCCAAGATGGCTTAAAATTTATAGTAGTTCTCCTACATCAACTCTCTGAGTACTGGGATTACAGACATGAGTCACTATGCTGGGAAGTCCCATGCGTTTTGATCTCCACACATTACATGGATGCCTGTTAAAGACAGACACCCATAAATCTTAATGAAGGCTCTATAATCTAGTTGCTGAAGTTGACACTGAGGGAAACCTTCACTATAAAATAGTAAGCCACATTTGCTGTCACTTTTAAATGAGAGCCTGTCCTCACAGTGTCTGTAGGACATCAAAGCATACTGCTCCTCCTCTGCCATGCTTTCTGAATTCTCCTAATCTCCAGACTTTCAGTTCTATTCCAAATGGTGAACAGAATTCAGAGATTTTTGTGAATTAAAGCTAGGAGTACAGACCTTTGCAACATACCTACCTTAACCATCAGTGCAAAGAAACTGCCAGGTAGGATACCCATCTTGGCCAACACGATCCATTCAAGCAGTAACAACACCTCAAAGGGGACTCAACTGCTCACCTTTGAGAAAACAAAAGATTCAACTCCAAGAAGAAATCTGTATGGTTGCCCCTAGAGCCATCAGTGTTCAGGAGGCCTGAGTTCAGCTGAAGAAGAACCAGAAACTTGGCCTGATAGCAATCATCTTAGGAAGCTATGGAGAGGCTGTGGTAGGAGGACCAGACTCCGGAAACTTTTGTGTGGAAGAATGAGTGAAAGACAAGTCTGGGCAACTTAGCGGGATTCTGAGAAACAAATTATGGAGACTAGGGATATAGGCTAGTGGTAGAGAATCTACCTATCAAGTACAAAGCAAAGCTTTTGGTTCATTTACAGTATTGAAAAAAAAGGGTAGGGGAATAGAAGGAAACCAAAAAGCATGTTTGGGGTTTCTTTTTTCCAGTCCATGAAGACAAAGGGGCAGAAATGGCAGCAGAGAGCTTTGTATAGCCTGTGAGCATGATGGAAATGGCCTTCTGGGGTACAGGTTCAGTGAAGCAGCTCAACTTTTTTCCAGAGCACAGGAACATATAGGATTGGGGATGGTAGCTGTGTAATCACTAATTTGCATTAAGTGGCACGCTCCTATCATATAGCTGGACTAGTAGCAGCACAGCCCTATAAAAATAGCTAGAGCATGTCACCTAATTACCATATGAGTATCAGGAGAAGAGAATTTGCAGGGAGCTGTGTCAAGGGTCATGCAAGAGAGAAATAGGCATCTGGGCCTAGAAACATTCTCCAAATAAAGTCAGCTAGAGATCAGGAAGCCATCTATTACAACATGGAAGGAGTCCTCCTTGTTACATGGGCAGGTTCTTACTGTGCACATAATGTTTGAGAAGACTTGTATTTTCTTACATTTTTGTTTTCTCTTAGGCCCATGGTGGATTTCTTACAAACCTATGAGGATAATGTGAGACAATAGATTTTGTAGGTTTGTAAATGGCATAGAAGTGAAGAGAGGAGTGCACTGGGCTGATCTTCAAAGACATCTGGTGAAGATGAACGGAGAGTGTAAGACAAACTTAAAAAAAGAAACTTTTGCTCTACTCTGAATGGAAAGTACACAGCTCTGCCACCAGTCCACCATCACTGCACTAATATTTTTAAACTGGTGATGCTAATAGTTTCCTTTTTTGGCTTTAGATGAGACTTACAGGTGATTTTTCTCCTTTGTTTTAGTAATTTTCCACACTAGAACCTCATAACTGCTCCAGCATGGAACATACTAAAGTAAGAGCAACTCCCTGGGTTCTTGGTCTCTGTAGAGGTGCTGTCTACCTTGGCTCTTTTTAATATGTTGCTCACCCTAATTTATTTATTAATTTATTCTTTCAAAGTTATTTTGCCCATGTTTAAAATGTAAGTGGGATGAATTGCAGTGCTTTTCACCTCCTACCAGTTGATAATCCAATTACTTGCTGCCAAGTGAGAGTCCTTGGCTGCCTGTTGCAGTTATAATCTTTGCAAATGCTATTTTGAGGCCCAGTTTGACACAGAAGCTGACAAGCTGGAACTCCAAAGGCAATATTAATGTTAATATGCTGTCACCTAGAAGATTCAATTTGCATATATCTAAGCAAACACAGGCTCTGTCCTGAGAGCTTATTTTATTAACATCTGAAGACTAAGTTTGCTCGCTAAGCCCACTGAGCAGCTTTTCATTCTGTTCCAAAGTATTTTTATTGGGCACTTAATGTAGCTGTCTTTTGAGAGATAGATGAAAACATATTTGCAGTGTTCTAAAGGAACTTGTAAGTACTATATGTCCAGGTTCTGAAATGAATCTGAATTACTAAATCTAATTTTATTCTTTTGTACTAATTGGGGAGTTATGTGAATTCATTTAGTTTCTTTAAACCTGAGCTGTCTCTGTAAGCAGAAATATTAATGGCAATTTGGAGAGTGATCAAGAGGACTGAAAGACTTAGTCAATATCAGTGCTTGCACATAGTAATTTCTCAGCAAATATTAACTCTGTGTGCTTTCATTTACACAAGACCTGTATGTGTCCACACTGAACTGTCCTCAATCCAATTATTTTGGTATACTCTATATATGGCAGATATGTATGTATAGGCAAGTTCATGCATTTGTTTATGTGTAATGCTTGCCTAGATGACATAGAAAAGATAATACAATAGCATTTATTTGCAAGAAAATTGTACAAATTCAAAGGGAGATTGATAGTGGGATATAAGTACATAGAAAGAAGTTCCTTTCCAGTTAGAAGTCTTACTAAGAATTAATAATAAAATCTAGGAGTAATTCCTGATAGAGACACTAGGAACATGTTATATGTAGAATAATGATAAGAAATGAATTTGGATCTCTTATGATTAAAAAATATATGGCCATAATCATGTATAATGTTAATAGAAGTATGGGATCAAAACATTGTCATGGAATACTTGCCTCGTATGTAAAAAATGCTCAAATTCTATCTCCAGCTCTACAAAAACACACAGACACAACTTGAATGATAACACCAATTTCAAAGATGACCATGCCCAAGGTGGCGTATATGCATCATAGGATATTATTTTGTCACAAAAAGAACAAAACCTTGTCATTTGTGTCAAAGTAGATGAACAAAGACATCACCTTAAGTGAAATAAGTCAGGAATAGAAAGATAAATTCCACACATTTCTAGTTATAATGTCAGTTAAAGAAAAACAAAGATCTTTAAGACATATAAAGTTGAATAGTACTTAGCAATTACTAAAAAGTGTAGAAAAGATGGGGGTAAATAGGGGTAGTTAATGAATGTAAAAGTACAGTAAGATAGGACTACTATTGTTTTGTAGCATAGTAGGGTAGAAATTTCTGAAGCCAGAAATAATTTATTGGATATTTCAAAATATCCAGAAGAAAGAACTTTTACTGTATTCAATCCAAAGTAATAAAAATTTCTTGAAGAGACAGATAAACTATTTATATTGATTTGATTGTAGCCTAGTACATACATGTGCTGAAATACCATGCTACATTTTATGAACATGAATATTTACTGTGTCAATAAATGGTTTGTAAAATGAAATGTTTCTCAATATTATGAACTGAAATTTTAAATTATCTTGAAGTAATGGAATATTTTTTACACCAAGCATTAAAGTACATGAATAAAAGAACAATGAAACACTGTGTTTCCTTCCTGATTTTAAAGAACAAATGTAATTACTGAAGACTCACAGAATTACTAATATATAAATGCATCTACTTTACATTTCATTAAGGACATCAAACACACTTTGGTACAACTTTTTGAATTGCCAACTTTGGCTTTTGAGATATGAGAAATGTTTTAAAATAAGCCTCATTTTCAGAGTGGTTTTCAAAAATATATTAAAGATGTTTCTTTGGTGAATGTCTGGATGCAAGTTGAGATGTTCATTCCAGTCCTCATAAGGAATGATGATGAGACCTCAGCGGGTGACTAGATCAAGAAGGTGGATCCCTCTAAAACGGGATGAGTGTCTTCATAAGCTTATGTCCATGAGGACACAAGAAAATGATGACATGTGACCCCAGAACTTTATCTTCCCCTGATGTCTAATTCACTCTTGGCTTGATTTCAGACTTCTCAACCTCCAGAACCATAAAAGGAGATGTTACAATCATACCAACTTTCATTGTTTATAACCTGTCCAGTCTATGGGATCCTGTAATAGCATCATTAAAATTAAGAAATCCTACATTGTTTATTTCCTAATAATTATCCAAGTCACTTACAGTCAATTCCCCTAAGTAGATTTCTCTTTGTTGTGTATCTCTATACATTTATTTAATTTACCAACTAATTCTTTGTATTTTGATCGACACATCAAAGGATTAATGAATGTGTGTATTCCCAAGCACTGAGAACAGTAGATGGGGTAGGATGAACTCAATAAATTCCGCTGCAGTCTTTTTAACTGGGCTATTTTAATATCAACTAGAGACAGCTGGTGTTTCCATCTGGTAAAGAATTTCCTTTTACCAGTTGTGAGTCAATCCCTCGCACTGGCAGTCTAGGAAAGACCTGCTCTCTGTCATTTCAAGAAACTGCACATAGATGAAATAATAGAGTGGTTTTGAAAAGTGAGAAGATTCATTAAATGTGTTTCTTTCAAGAGTGTCTGAACTCCAGCTTATATATTCTTCATTCAAGCCCTCTTCTAGAGAAACATCATGATACTAAACTTGACTTTGAGTTCTTGAATTAATTTTATGAGAATTACTTCAGTCAGGTTTCTGCTTCAAACACTTGGTGTCATCTTTAAAATATATTCTCTCGGAGGGGTTGTCTCCTGATGGGAATCAGAAGACAAGAACCAACCACAGGGTTTACGGTAATGGGTCTGCTTTAGAGAAACAGCTGCTCTCTTATCTGTCTCTTACTTTTAAGTAATAACTGTAGCTTAGCAGTCATCCACTCACATTTCCAAACACGAATCTACAGATGACATATTACCTTTGTCCTTATTGTATTGTTTACTGTCTTCTGGACTTTTGTATCAGTTAATCTTTATTATTCTAACTCATCTGTCTAATTATCACCTTTGTCATCTGAAGAATCTATTATATAGGGTATGCATTTAAACACTTTGTGATTCTTTTACATTAACCTTTGAAGTGTATTATCCTTCTAGTAACATTAGCCTCCTTGTCTTCTGCCCATTAGATGGTAAGGCGCGCCTTACAAAAATACTCTTCTGTCTGCTTTGCTTCAGCATTTAGTGATCCTTCTACTTAATCCACATATCACATTCCTGTCTGACTTTCAAGGTCATCTATTCCATGTCACCACTCTGTCTACCAAGTCAGCTTTCTCCCAGCCCCAGGCTATCATGTTTACACAGACTCACTATCCAAGTCCTGACAACTACTCACTGTCTATGAATGCCACACTCTGCTCCTTTCCACTTCACTGATTGATACTATGAGCAGCCTGGAAATACCTTTCTTTCTTTTTATGATATATAAATATTATAAATCAATGTGAGTCCAATTCAGATAGTGGGAAATTCACCTGTAACAGAGCCTACTCAACTACAAACTCTTGGCCTGCTCTCTTTCTTGGTGAAATTAGTTTCCAAAACCAACTACCTCACACTTCAATTGTATTGAGATCTTGTATGAGTATTGTTGAATTTTGCTTTCTATTATCTAATAAAATTCTGTGCATACAGTTTTTATTTTGAGAATGCCATTTAGGTTTTTGACAATCAGTCTCACTCTAACATAACTTGTCTAAAAGACATTCTTCAAGAAAATTGAAAGACTAGTGTAATACCTTCAGGAGAGGTACCTTTCAGTGTGAGTCTCCAATCCATTGCACTCTTTAGAGAGTTGTACATGAAAAACTCAGAAGAGAAGGCTTTAAAACATATATAATAACATTATTCACTAACATTGTCCCTATGTCCTGAGTATATCAGTATTGAAGAGATAAGGCAGACCATAAACAGAGAAATCCCTAAAGGCAGCAGCTGTGGATGCTAAACAACAGCAATGTAAAGCACTAAGAAAGGACTGTGGGACTGCATAATTATCACTTGAATCATAGTTTTATTACAGCAGACTAATTCATACTCGCTGAGTTCTCACATGGAAAAAACTCACCATAAAGATACTTCAGGGTTAGTCTGGGCATTGGTGGTGCACGCCTTTAATCCCAGCACTCTGGAGGCAGAGGCAGGTGGATCTCTGTGATTTTGAGACCAGCCTGGTCTACAGAGCAAGTTCCAGGATAGCCTCCATAACAATACAGAGAAACCCTGTCTCCCTGTCTCCAAAAACCAAAAACCAAAAAAAAGATACTTCAGGGTTCAGAAAATAAAACACTAAAATAAATAAAATATAGGGATAAATAATATATATATATATATATATATATATATATATACTTGTAAACATGTACTGTATACATGATATATAGAGGTCAATTAATACAATAGCTAATATTTCTTAGAACACGTACTATGTTGGATAATTGGCATACTTGAAACAAAGCAATCCTGCCGGGCGTTGGTGGCACACGCCTTTAATCCCAGCACTCGGGAGGTAGAGGCAGGTGGATCTCTGTGAGTTTGAGGCCAGCCTGGTCTCCAGAGCGAGTGCCAGGATAGGCTCCAAAGCTACACAGAGAAACCCTGTCTCGAAAAACCAAAACTAAAACCAAAATAAACAAACAAACAAAAAAACCAAAACAAAGCAATCCTAAAGAACAAATCCCTTTTTTTCTCCTTTTTAAGAGACATAGAAAATCTTACCCACGCAAGGTTACTCAATAACTAGTGCAGTGTATACATGACAGGAGTCCAATTCTGGCTGAATTCAAGTCCCCTTCATATATTGCTTCCATGAATAACATAAAAATCTATTAATTCACTCTGAAAAGATAAGGAAGCATTCAGAGAGAAACTGTGATTACCAAATGATTGGAGGAACAGATTTGGCAGATGAAGGCAGGCATAGAGGAAATGCTACAGGGCTTCCAGTCTGGGACTTCTGCTTGGAGGACAGAGTATAAAAGGGGAATTCATAAAATATGGCAATATAACAACTGAATTTCCAAGTATTATCAAAGCCAGGGAATATGTGAAAGAACACACAAAGTTTTAAACTTACAGAAGGTGTCATGCCACAGCATCTGATCAAAGGATAGACTTTACTTAGCAGATGATGATGAGCCACTGAAGGAGGCCAAGCATGGGAATGTAATCAGATTTACATTTCTGGAAGGGAGAGAGAATGGTTATGGATAGGTCAAGAAGAAGGATGTGGAAATATTTAGAATGTGAGATGATGTCATCCTTGGCTAAAGTCATACAAAGAGAAATATTTTTCAGGATTATTGAGTTTAGTAATTAGCTACTTAATAGTAAGATAAGAAGTTGATAGTACTGAAGTTGTTGTAAATTAATGCCACGGTGACATCTCAGCAAACTAGTCCCAATCTGGAACCTTTCTGCATCTGATCTTGACCCTCTCCATCAGTGGAGTGTCTACAGAGCTGAAAGACACAGCATGTTTTAATTCCCTTTCTGAACCACACTTTGAATACCTGTAATAAACAGAATTCTTTCCTAGTTCAAACTATTTCACAGCATCCACCTAAGCAGTAACTTTATGCCTCTCATCTGTATAGTGAATCAGAGATTGGCAAAATTTTTGCCTTATAGATGAACTGTTAGTTCTTCAAGGATAGATAAGAAGTTTGAACCCAGGTGATATGATCCAAAACGTAATAGGGTTGGACTTTGATGTTACTACTTTGGGTAATTGGTGGAGATCACTAAGGAGCATTGCAATACAAGAGAAAGAAATTTTATGGAAAAAAGAATGAATTTTGAGAGAACATGGCACCCAGTGGTAACCTGTAGGCATTAGAGAAGAAAAATGGACTTGGAAATGGATGGAGCAAGAGGTGGACATAATTCTCAGAGACCACAAAAACATGGTCCACAGACTCAACTAATCAGGGCTCATAGGGGCTCATAGAGACTGAAGCCACAGGAACCAGAGGAGAGGTAGATCTGGGGCAGAGGGAAGATGGTAGGGAGTGACTGGGAGGAGTGGAGGAGGGGGAAACGGTGTTCAGGATGTAATAATATATGAGAGAAGATTAAGTAAGCAAGTAAGTAAATAAATAAAATCATGGAACTGTCTTTTTTATTATAAAAATCTCTTTGGGTGTCACTATATTTTATTTGTAATTAAATATACAAAAATTAAACAGAAAAAAAGTAGAGCAGGTTTCCCAGCCTTCATCTCAAGAAGAGAATATAGTCAAGTGATTTAGTAAACACTTATGTTTCTTGAGTGATCAACGGTTAAGAACAAACATAAGTGAATAGGAAAATCAGACAAGAAATGCCTTGAGTAATGCTTCCAAAAGGCCATTGTTTCCTTCCTACAACACAAAATACCAACTAATGGACTGCTCTATAAAGTTGGATTTGTGTGTTCCTGTGTGTGTGTGTGTGTGTGTGTGTTTTAGGTTATTTCTATAAGTATTTATTTTCTTATTTTACATGTTAAATATAATATAATTACACGACTTCTCCCTTTCCCTTTCCTCTTCCAGTCTTTCCCTTGTTCCCCTATTCCAACTACTTTCATGGTTTTCATTCTCAAAC